AATTGCTATGTAGAACTAGGCACCGATTCACAAGGGGTCCCTGCAGGTCAGTCCAGAATGACCTGCAACACACAGCAGTGTTAAAGACAACACTCCCCTGTCCCATGTGTTTGAATATGCATATTCTTCTTCTTCACTTTTCTATGTCTGCCTTTTCTTTCAAAAAATGCCTCCAGAGGATATAGTAACTTGGCACATCTCTTTGGTTCAGTGCTGTACTGGCTGACTACTTACATAAGTAGCATGATTCAAGCATGAAAGCCTCTGCCAAGTCGGGGGAATGCCCAGCAGTATTCACGGGGACCCAGAACCATCCGTGGCTAGCCTTCCCCTGCCCATGACAACCTCCACACATGCAGCACACGGCTTCTTGTCTGGCTCCTTCCAAGGTGTGCATACTCTACAGGCAATTTTGGTTGGAGCTATTTTCAGCCGGTCAGCATCAGTTCAGGACAGGCAACTCTTGACTGCAAAAAGAAGTATAATTTATCACACAGCTGTCCAGGAGAAGTGGCTTCAGTTTTGCCAGGCCGCAGGTGGGTAAGAAGAGCTGTGCTAACACATTCCAGGGGCTTCTCCAGTGAAGCATCCAAATAAGAAGCAGGGCTGATGTTGAAAAGTACAAGAACCATGAGCCATGCCCTCCACTTCATGAGTACCCACAGCTGGGAGATGTCATGATTGGTACCATGGCTTCTCTGTCCTTCATCATTCCTGATCCATTCACCTTCACTGGAGAACCCCCACTAGTGTTGCTGGATGAACTTTTGTAAGGAGTTAATACTTTATTTTTTTGCTTCCAGTGCATCTGTCTGTCTGTCTGTCTGCTTGTCACCATAATTATTGTAGCAGGTGAAACTTTTGAACAATGGTTTGTGCAATAGAAAATGTTCATCTTGTGAAAGGAATGTGCAAATGTTGTTATAAGCATATCCAGAAGGATGCATTTTGAAATGAAGTTAAGGTTCTTCAGTATTATTTTACTTCTGTCTGCTGTGCTCATATTTTCAGTTATTTCCTCCACCAATTTCTTCAGGATTGCTTCTCTTCCCCTTGTTACCTCTCTTCCCCTTAGTACCTCTATTCATTCACCTCTCTCTTATTATTCTGCCCTGTCTAATGGAAACCACCTATGACCAAGTGTTCAGGGGATTGGATCAACTCTGCAGCTGAAGTAGACCTCTCCTGCCCTCCCCCACCCCGATCCACTACTGAATGTGCCAATCTGTGGCAGGATGGACAGAGGGGAACTCATAGAAATATAGAAACAGAGTGAGTGAGAAGGGGCCTCCCACTGTCCTCTGCCCATTTCCATAGTCTGTCCAGCAGGTCACCTTCTGAAATGGAAAGAGTGTGTAGCTCCGGTGCCACAATCCCAACGGGTATCCTTGTATTGATGATAACTTGTTAGGCCATAACCCTTAACAATGTGCAGATGTACAACTGGTTGCAGAACCAATGTGGATCTATGTATGGACAGGGCCTCTCACGCTCCCAGGTGAGCCAAAGCCACAGTTCTTCCCAAATCAGCTAGCTGGTGCCCAGGTTCACATGCTGTTCTTTGGCATGCCATGCAAATCCAGACTGCCCTCCTGCAGGGCAGATCAGTTCTTCAGCAGAAGCCACATAGCCTGTGGACCATTGCAGGGCTTGGCACAACTCCAGGTACCTCGGGGGAAGCGGCAGGCCAGTTGCTTTTCAGGCATGCAGGAATCCCTTTGCCGCTCTCCCCAAGCTCATCCAGGCCCTGGCAGTGATTGTTGCTCCCCAAGGGCCCAAGTGGCTCCAGGGGGCTCCTGCCACTGCCTCAGTTTCTTCTGCTGTGATCACACACCTGAACTGAGGTTATTTGGACAGAACTAATGGAATACTTTTCTACCAGAACATATGCAGAAAATTTATGACTTCATCTGTCAAATGTCAAATGAGCCCTTTCTGAAAAAGCACAGAAAGATGGTTTTAAAAGGAAACCTGAGTTTCAACAGCTTTCAAAATTGAGATTACAAATCTGGCTGTCAACTGCAGATTGTGCTTTCCAAAACCTATAAAAGGCATGGAGTGGGGAAATGTGGAAAGCCTCCCTTGGAGGAAAGAGGAGGGAGGGCACCGGGTTGCCCACTCCCTGGGCATGCTGGCTGGAGGGCCAGGAAAGGAGGAGGGACAACCCACACTGAGCCCTTTCTCTGCTGAGCACCCCACCCTCGGGGGGATGTCTGGGAGGTTTTAGCCTGTTCTGAGTGAGCACAGCTCCCTGTGGCCTGAATAGCTCCACTTCTGTGGGGCCCACCTGGATCACCTCAAGCACCTCCTAACTGAAGGATGGCAGTGCAGACCTGCCACTGAGCCACAGGACCCCTTGCATTTCACCCCAGGCCATGTGATCTGAGGGATTGCAGCAGTGCAAGAGGGAGCCAGATCTTGGAGGGCAGAATCCTGAGATGCAGCACGCCAGCCCCAGAGAGGAAGCGTCTGTGCAGAACCAAGTCAAACACGGGTGTAAGTGCTATTGGTGTCTCTCTCTATTAAATTAAGTCAGCCAATCCTTCAAAACTTGGTTGTGCTTCTAAGTGTCCAACTGAAGCCAGATCAAGGTCAGAACAAGGGCCTCCTAAGTAGTTTTAAAGAAATTTTGCATCTTCGTCTGGGAAACCCAGTGCCAGCTTCATTGCTGGGGAAGGGACCCATCATGCAGAGAAGGAAACTCCACAGGGCAGATTCTCTGAATTGCCTTTTGCTAGTCATGTCATTTGAGAAGAGCAACATGAGCAAGGCTGAAGTGCAGCTCCTCTGTGCCATGCATGTCCGTGGGGCTAAACATGGCTGGGACAGTGAACAGAATGCTTTTTCACTGCTGGGGACATTTGGATGCATAAAGAGGGTTTTGGAAGGACATACTGCTCAGAGGAGCAAAAAGGAAGTGAAGAATCAAGGCA